GTGTGCTTGAAATATTTTCTAAAGAATGGTAATATTTTACGCCTATAAATTATACGTATCTATCAATCTTTTTAATATTATTACTATTAATGGGCAATAATTTCAAAATTTTGTCCGTCTAGAAAAACCGGCTCGCTTTCTGCCGTTTTTAAACTACTAAATCGCCGAATTCTATTGATAATTTTCTTTTAACAATCTCATCATGTACAGAAAATATTTCTGAACAAATTGAGACGTCTTCGAGCTCTCTACCGCATTGTTTCATCAAACAGCATTCAATTTGAGAAACGCCCCATATCACCAAAATTAGCGAAATCAAACCGAAAACCGACAAATATGTCTTTCATTTCTTTTACCCATAACTCTAACAAACATACAATTTGAAAGACTATGTTATAGCTCATTCGGTAGTCCTTTCAATTCTGCATGTTTCTATGTATTAATCATTCCCGGTTTGAGTTTGCTGACAAAAGTATAATCATTTTTATCTGCCGCTACGGGTAAAATCGAAATAACTGTCAAGTATTTGACGAATACTTCTACGAAGATATTAGTTTAAAACGATGTGCCATGTATATCATTTTAAAGCCCGTTTATTTGCATATATTTTAGTGTGTAAGATTGTATGAAGAACGTCGAACTTACAGAGAAAAATGAATAAATACGATCGAACAGGCTTTTTGGACCGATGCTCAGAAATGATTAAGATTTTCAGCATATGGTAGTCTACAATCAACTTTTAAGGCGTAGAAAAATTGAAAACTAAACAGCGAACGGTTTCTGATCAGTTTCAGTCGTTATCTTTTCAAAAATATATAGGGCCATTTTCTCGCAGTAACCGTCCGGTGTCCTTTATTCATTGCGAAGTAATCACCAAAATAATTAACGAAAAGTAAATGAAAAAATCCCCTATTGGGCAAGCTAAGTAACATCCAATCTAAGATGGCATCGGGACGTCCCGATGAATTCAAGCAGTCAAAATTTCTTTTCTTTTTACTATTCTAACTTCAGTGTTAGTTTTTATTCTCACTATTTCTTACATGCTCTCCGTTACGAATACCAAGTTTTTTGCAAGGATAGAAATAAATATTTATTCATAACTCTCGTGTGCATCAGAGATCAGCACGAGCCGGAATTTTGGTCAGACCGGACCGAGCCGAGACAGAGAACTTTACAGAGTGGTTGGGTCCGGCCGGGCTTGGACTGTAAAGTATTTTGGTCCGGTCGGACCGGACCAAAAATTTTCACCCGTGCCGATTTCTGGTGTGAATGTACATCATCATCATCATCACATTTTCTTCCTCTATCAACTAAGAACAAATACAATAAATAGTTTTAAGAAGTAAAATACACAACCTATTCATATTTTTGGTTAGTGATGATGTCATTGTGGATGTGGATGAGTGAGAGTCTGCCGATGACGATGATATTAATACTTGTATTAGATAAAGAACATTATTGTCTATAAAACAGAAATCTTAATATAAAGAACATGTCCCTTACCAGAGCTTTTTTTAAAATTTTCTTTTGTTACTTTTTAAATTGAAAAAACCATATCTAAAAGTAAGTATGCCCAGTAGCATTTTCTTCTAGTTTAATATCTTTAAATGTTTCAGAATGTTGATGTGTTATGTTACAGACCTACATGGACAACTTTTTTTCTGTCCGTGAACAGACCGACTGACTTGTTTATTCGGAGTCAGCGAGCAATGATACGTCGAGTGAGTTATAAACCACCCTTTGTAGTTGCATAAAATCTGATTACAAGCTTTTGAAGATCCTATTTAATCAAATTTAAAGATTGGACAACTAAATGAACAATTATTGTTTTTAGAATATTTTTATGCTGATTAGGTACGTCCAAGCAACTACTTTTTGAAAACTATTTAAGGCCACCGATATCATCGCATTTCTTTGCTTTTGACAGCGACAAAAAACGACTTCGTTTCTTTACAAAATTTGATATATTATTATTTGTTAATATCCTTTCTCAGGTAATAGATACTTTTTCTTTTTGTATGCTCTTCTAACTTACCTTACCTATCCTGCAGCTATCGACAGTGTTTATTTTCGCTTAATCATGTGTCAATTAAAACAAACAAAAACTACGCACTGTATACGAAAAGAAAGAAGAGGAGGTAAAAGAATATGTATTTTTTTGATCACCAGATTTATTCATTGCGAAATTATCACGGAAAAATAACACTTTTCATCACCAAAATAATTAACGAAAAGTAAAGTCCATTCCCTATTAGAAGTGCGTTTTGGCGAAATGTTTTTGAAACTTCTTCTATAGTTTGGCCATACTTATGATACAAATTTATTTTTAAATCTTTTTTTTGTTTTCAATGTTGTATTAAATCGTTGCCGAAGTATGTTCGTATCAAATTCACCTTCTTCATTTGTGGTTAATATATTTTGTATATGGTCGGCGTAATCGCCAACTGGACCTTCAAATATATTTGAAAATAGAATAATATTGATCTGTTCTTTCATTAAACGTTTAAAATATGTTTCGAAACCATACACTTCACCACTATGTTCTATGACATTACCATCGTCACTAATTGCCAGACCATAGCCATAGCCATCCCAACCATACGGATTTTTTCTGGATACGCGGGACGGCGTTATCATTTGTTTTAGAAGAATAGGTTTAATTAAATGTTTTGACGATGTACTACCGAAAAGTGCTTCGAGCCATAAATAAAAATCTTTAACACTAGTCAACAGGCCACCGGCTTCACGTGCCACACTCATATCCATATATTCACAATGAATAAGTTTTATTGTACTGTTGCAAGTATTGTTGTCGGTTTTATTGTCACAAATGGCAGCGACAGTGTCATGACCTAGTAGTATGTGAAGAAAATCGACACAAAAGTCTTGCACAGACAATAGTAAATAGCTATTAAAAAAGCCCAATACTTTAGGAAATAGTACTTTTAGGCGTTGTGGTATGAGAGCGATGATAAGGTATCTCAAATTTGCAGGCTGATCTTTACATATGTGACTAAAAATTTCATGCTCCTGCGTTTTGTCTTTTCGGTAAAAATGAGTGTTTGGTATAATATCCGCCATTTTCATGTCTTCCATAGTCCTCTCATGTATATATAACTCTTGAACAGAACAATATTAAAGTCTAATATTTTTACAGTAAACTAGTCTTGTTTTCTACTAGCTATGGTAAATATTTCCACTTTATCTGACACTATCACCATAACCGGCTGATCGACTTTCCTACACAATGACTCTTAAAGAATTCTTTTTCACAATATAATCCCAAAACTAGATGACAAACCTTGTGCAATTTGATATTTCTTTGTATAATCACCCTTCTTATAATAATCATCATCGTGTCCACTTTTATAAATTGTATGCTCCATTTTTACTGGATTTAATATATATTTATATAATAATTGTCTATATGCATTTTCTTTGTATTCTTCGTCAAATTTCGACGACGAGGATATAATATTTTCAATGACTGCGCCC